GTAGTATATAGTAGTAGTAGTAGTAGTAGTAGTAGTAGTAGTAGTAGTAGTAGTAGTAGTAGTAGTAGTAGAGTAGTAGTAGTAGTAGTAGTAGTAGTAGTAGTAGTAGTAGTAGTAGTAGTAGTAGTAGTAGTAGTAAGTGTATTAATAATCGTAAAAGTTGTTGAATTTGTTGTCCAATTGTCAGGCCCACGAAATACGGTTGATATCCACCCCCCTCCTGTCAATTTCTTTCGTGTTCCATCCTGCTCCCTCCCCATTCCATCCGTCCTCTCCTCCCTAGTTTTATGGGCTGCGCTAAATCGACGTGGTGCGTGAAGAAGATATAACCCCAAACGGTGTACGATCGAAGACGAACGGGGGTACCGAAGGCTTGGGATATAGGTGTTGAATGGCACGCGGGAAAACGATTAGTGACTTTTCACATTTTGATGATAGCTATTGTTGATCCCGCCTGCCCGGTGCACCGTGTGTGTTTCAATTGGATTGGTCCCCCCGGGGTTCGCTCCTGGTTTTCTGTAAGGAAATGTGTTGGCCCTCAAACAATGCACGTGTCCCCCATTGTACAAAAACAGCGGCTCCCGCCTCTCACAACATATTTTTTGGGGGTCGCGCTCTAGCGCGGGATGTCCTCATAATTATGCAAAAATCGCGCTCTGGCGTGGTATGTCGTCAAAGTTTGGTGCGGCACCGTGCCCCCTAGTTTTCGAAATCACGTTCTCGCTATGGATGTCCTTGCGATTCCTGTTGGATTGGCGTTTCATCGATCCGCCCGCTCGACGTGGCCGTCTGGAGTCGCCCGCCCAACCTGCCTGGTAGGGTCCGCCTGCCCGACCCGCCCGCGTGGGGCCGCCGCTTATAATATTGTTCCTGAATCCTACCCCCCCCTGCAAATCTCTCAAGTGCTCCATCCTTTTCCCTCCCCCTTGCCTCGTTCCTCTTCCCGTCTTTCCCCTGTTTTAGGGGCTGCGCCAACTACGCGTGGCGGGTAAGAACGACATACCTTCGAGGTTTGGGATCTACGTGTTGAATGGCACGCGATCGGATAAGAACGAACAGTCTTAAAATGATGGCGGATGAATATGAAATGCTACACAATTATTGTTGCCGGACCTCCTGAATCCGCTTTGGCGCTCTCGCCTGGGCACCGGCTGCATTTCCTTTGAAAGCGAGGCTCGCGCTCAAGCGTTTCGGGGGTGCGCCAAAATCGGCCCCTCAACAACAACAGCGCTCCCGCTCGATACTTCCTCATTTTCTACACGGCACCGTGGCTCTAGCTCGCCGCCGAACCCCGAACCCCGGCTTTCCCACAAATTTGGCGCTGGCGTTCCCGCTCGATACTTCCATGTTTTTACTCCAGACTGGCGCTCCCGATTTGGCGCCGCAAGCGGCCCCCTTTGAGAACAACGACGCTCCCGCTCTATAGTTTCTCCGCTATTACTCAAGATTCCCACGGAGGCCCTGGGACTTCCCGAGTCCACGTCGAACGTTATATATATATATATATATATATATATATATATATATAAAATTAAGTATGGGACACCCAACATCCGCAGTGGAGCTCTCGCCTTGGTGTTGTTTGCGTCCCGCTTGAAGTCGAAACTCACGCTCAAGCGTTTCGCGGGCGCGCCGGAACTGGCCCCTCCTTTTCTACTCGGCACCAGGGCTCTTGTTCGAAACCGAAATCTGGCTGTCCAACACATCTGGCGATCCCGCTCGATACTTCCTTTTTTGCCTTTGCTCAGGACCAGCGCTCCCGCCTCGGCGCCGCTTACTGTCCACCCTGCAAATAATGACGCTCCCGCTTGATCGTTCCCCCGCTTTTTCTCAAGACCCCCAGAGGCCCCGGGGGTTCCTGAATCTTCGTGCCGATCCTCAAGAATGCAGCATGCACTGTCGGAGGTCTGCGCAACCCTGGCGCGCTCCGCGTATCAGGGGAAGCCCGAAAACCCGCGGCGGCGATCCCGTCGTCCTCGTGTCGTCGTCGTCGTCCTCCTCCTTTTCATTATCCTTCTCTTTCTCCTCCTCCACCTCCTCCTTTTCCTCCTCCCCCTCTTCCGCCTATTCGTCCTCCTCCATCATTCGTCCCCCTCGTCCTCCTTGTCCTTCTGCTCCTCTTCCTCGCCCTCCTCCTCCTCCTCCTCCTCTTTCTCTTTCTTCCCCATCCTGCCCCTCCCCCGCGTTATCCCTTCTCCCTCCTCCCACTCCTCCGTCTCCTCGTCCTCCTGCTTCCTCTTTTCTTCCTTCCCCGAGGTCCAGAAGCTCCTCCGATCCAAGCCTTTTCCAAAAATGCCCCGGGGCCTCCTTCAAAATGCCCCGAAATCCTCCAGTTCAGCTGCGAAGCGTCTCCCAAGGGCCCTCATGTTTCCCACGAAGTTTTTGACGCTTCTCTGGGAGGCTGTGGGGGCTCCCAAATGGGCTCCACGGGCTGAGGCTCCGGGGGTTCTCCCAAAAGTTTTGGGGCCTCTCCTGAAAGGTTTTGGGCCATTCGGGCGTGGGGATACCTAGAAGAAAAACGTCGGCAGGGCGATTGTGAAGGCGATGTGCCATCCAGGCTGGAGATGTTGAGGTGCCTCGAAAGAGGTGTTGTCAAGACCTCCTCGGGCGGGAGATCTGAATAAGGGAATCTCGGACCCACCTGTGCAATAACAAATTGCCCATGAGGGAGAAGCTATGATGATGGATGGATGCATGTTGCATATCGAATCCTGGAGCATTCACGTAAAACATGGTTGTTGTTGAGCGCTCTTTCCAAACAAAAAAATCAGTATTGATCCCTCCACCGGTAACCGTTGCATTTTTCTGTTGAAATGCAACTCCCGGGCTCGCGCCTGGATTTTTATTAGGGAAACCTTGGTTTCACCAGACTGCGTCGTTGGGCCCCGAACTACAACAACAACGGGTCCCGGCGCTGTCGCTCGAAACATCCTCGCGATTCATGCAGGACCCACGCTTCAGCAACCCGCCTGCTCGACATGGCCGCCTGGGCCCGCCTTGGCGATCAGCCCGCTAGGGCCTGCCCGCCCGATCAACCCGTCTGGTTCTGCCACTTGCTTTCTGCTCCAAATCCCTCTCCTGTCAATTTCTCTCGTGCTCCATCCGTTTTCCTCCCTCTTCCATCCGTCCTCTCTTCCCGTGTTTTGGGGCTGCGCTACGTGCACGTGGTAGGTAAGGGGGATATGCTTTTAGGGGGGGCACGATCGAAGACGAAGAGGGCGGGTACCGAGGGTTTGGGGTATACCTGCTGAGTGGCGCGCGATCGGATAAGAGCGAGAGGTCTTAACATGATTGTTGTTGCTTTCTCACGTCTGAAAACTAATTATGGTTGATCCCCCGCTCTGCTGTTTCTCGCGATTCACCAGTGTCACTATCGCTTGAGACTTCCTCGTGATTCATGCAGTGCTCACGCTTCAGCAACCGAATCGATGTCAGATCGGCGATCGAAACGAATCGGGTCGGCGGAAATCCTATTGGAAATCGGCAGCCGAGCCGGGTAAAGTCGAATCGGCCAGTAGGCCTCCATTCAGAAAGCGAGATTCACATCGGAACCCGAAGACGAATCGAATCGGAACTGGAATCCAAATCGTAATCCGAAGTCGAATCGGAAGGCTCGAAACGAGCCGTGCGCCTTCGTGCCCCCAGCGGACCCCTGTCCTGCAACCCGCCCCCCCGGTTATCACGAGGGTTAGGTCGGGCATGCCTTCCTACAGGCGGATTTTGAAGGAAAGATGAAGAATAGTCAGACAATACTGAACCATAGCCAAAAAGAGCACGAACATCGTCACCAGTCGATCTTTGTCCTATTCTTTAACTTTCCTTCTGTAGAGGGACTTGCCCGACTTCACTCCAGGGCATCTACCTTCGCGCTTTCGCACAGCCCCTCCCTCCCCCCAAGAACAGGCAGAGGGCCTCGCAGCCTCGCTCTGACATCGCCCAGACCGCGAAGCGCGACTACCTTCGCACCCTCGTGGTGGCCGCAGGGTCATCACTGCCCCTTCCCGACCACATGACCACGCGCCCGAGGGCAACTGCCTCCTCATCGGCCTGGGCCTCCTCCTCTCGGTCGACGCTGCCGCCTCGGCGCTGCCGCTCCAAAGGGGGCCCTGCGAGATGCATCCCCCGCCACGCAGCCAGTCTGGATCACATCAGGCGTGCAGTCTACAGATGATTTGGCAGCCTTGCTCTACTGGACATTTGCTTAAACAAATCCCCCCGTGGGTGGGCAACACTCCGCCGCTCCGCGCCGCTCCGCAAAGCACCCTCCGACGGAACCGGCCCGTGGCCAAGCCCGACGAGCGCAATGCCGCAAACAGAACGCGGCGGCACCGCCTCCTCGAGAACCGAGGAACAGGGCAGCTCCCGCGACTCGGCTTGGCAGGGTGGGGGGCTTGATTAACTTCCGATCCTCGTCCTCCTCGGCCTCTGCAAGCGCCTCGGCTTCATCCTTCGCCTCCTCCCTCGCCTCGGCCTCTGCCGGCGCCTCGGCTTCTGCCTCCCCTGGCGCCCTCGCCTCGGCCTCTGCCAGCGCCTTCGCCTCGGCGCCCTGCTTCGCCTCGGCCTCGGCCTCCTCCCTGGCCTTGGCGTCGGCCTCCTCCTCGGCCCGCGCCTCCAGCTCCGCGGCCTCTGCCAGAGCCTTCGCCTCGGCCTTCGGGGCGCGCGCCGCGGGCTCCGCGGGAGAGAGGGAGGGGTGGCCCAGGCCGGAGGGTCTTGAACGGGGCCCAAGTGCACACAAGTAAATACACACAAATAAAGGGATTCCCCAGATTTTCTAATGTTTTCTGGGTTTTTGTCTTCCCCCACACTTCCCATATTTCCCAACATTTTCGGGGGAATCGACGATTAATTGTGTCTGTGTATTTTTGTCCCCTCCTGAGTTCAGGCCGGGCGGTCTACGGTGTGGGTGCGATGCTGCTTCCATGATCGCAATATTCCTGCGCAGCGCGTAACTCGAGGTCTGAAATTGACTCCGCGTCCATAAGCCAAACCTGCTTTGTGAAAACTTCGAATGCCACTGGCAAGGGTAATGCACTTCCTTCCGCACTCTTGAAGGACGTCCTGTTTTTCGGCTTCCCTGCCGTCTTCCCGACAATCTTTCCGCCGTCTTCCCGACAATCCGGCCCTGGAGTAATCAAAAGGGCTGCCCCGCCTCACAACACCGGTCCTAAAAGCACTGAGGACCAAGGACAAAGGATTGAAAAGTCACGACGCCTACGTTCGACGGTCAAGAAGTGGAGCGGATCGAGAAGGAGACATGGTCGAGAGGGCGAGGATCGGGAAACGGCGAGGAGGCGAAATGGAGGGCGGGGAAGAGGATGGGAGGTAAGCGGAGATGAGGGAAGCGGAATCCGCGGAGGGCATAGGAAGGAAGGGACGGGTTGTACCTGCTGGGCGTGAGGAATAAGATACGGGATACGCAGAAGGTGTATCAATAGGCCCCCAATACGCCTGGCCACGGCCATCCTGGACCCCAGGAAGACCTGCCTGGCCTCGGCCACGAGGGCGCTTACACCATGCCAGGGCCCAAGATGGCCCTGGACAGGCATGGTGGTGGTGTGGTGGTGGACAAACGCCGTCTGCAAAGGGGAGCACCTGGGACGGAAACGTAATGCGACGTGAGAGGATGAGGTGGATAAGATAAGATAGCATATTCGTAGACTCCAGCGCGAAGGAACGGACCTCGGCTTCCTCCGCCTCCTGCCTTGCTCTCGCCGCGGCCTCCGCGAGGGCCCTCATTTCGTTCTCTTCCTGCGCTGTCGCCTCAGCCTCCTCTTTCGCCTTCGCCTCGGCCTCTGCAATCGCCCTGGCGTCAGCCTCCTCTTTCGCCTTCGCCTCGGCCTCTGCCAGCGCCCTGGCTTCAGCCTCCTCTTTCGCCTTCGCCTCAGCCTCTGCAATCGCCCTGGCGTCAGCCTCCTCTTTCGCCTTCGCCTCGGCCTCTGCCAGCGCCCTGGCTTCAGCCTCCTCTTTCGCCTTCGCCTCGGCCTCTGCCAGCGCCTTGGCCTCCTCTTTCGCCTTCGCCTCGGCCTCTGCCAGCGCCCTGGCTTCAGCCTCCTCTTTCGCCTTCGCCTCGGCCTCTGCCAGCGCCTTGGCTTCAGCCTCCTCTTTCGCCTTCACCTCGGCCTCTGCAATCGCCCTGGCTTCAGCCTCCTCTTTCGCCTTCGCCTCGGCCTCTGCCAGCGCCCTGGCTTCAGCCTCCTCTTTCGCCTTCGCCGCCTCGGCCTCTGCCAGCGCCTTGGCTTCAGCCTCCTCTTTCGCCTTCGCCTCGGCCTCCGCCAGCGCCCTGGCTTCAGCCTCCTCTTTCGCCTTCGCCTCGGCCTCTGCCAGCGCTTTCGCCTCGGCCTCCTGTTGAGCTCTCGCCTCGGCCTCTTCCTTTGCTCTCGCCTCGGCCTCCTCCTGGGCCTTCGCCTCGGCCTCAGCCTTCATCTTCGCCTCCTCCTGCGCCCTTGCCTCTGCCTCTGCCAGCGCCCTCGCCTCGGCCTCCTCCCGGGCCCTCGCCGCTGCCGCCGCCAGTGCCAACGCTTCGGCCTCGACCCTCGCCTTCGCCTCGGCCTCCTCCCTCGCCTTGGCCTCCGCAGCGCTCGCCGCAGCCTCCTCCTCCGCCGCACGCCTCGCCTGCTCCTCCTTCTCGGCCTTGTCCGTGGCGGCCCGCCACAGAGTCTGCAGCTCCTGCTGCGCGGCCTGGTCGGCCTCCTCCTGCAGCTGCGCCCGTCTCTCCGCCGCCGTGTCCTCCCCCAGCGCGCAGCCGGCGGCTGCCCCGGCGCCCTCCCCCTCGCCGCCCTCGGCCTCCGCCTCCGCTTCCTCCTCCGCTTCTTCCTCCTCCTCCTCCTCCTCCTCCTCCTGCGCGGCTTCCGCCTGGGCCTCCGCCTGCTGCTGCGGGGCGGGGCTCGAAGCGGCCGCGCCGGTGTCCCCTGCCTTCTCGTCTTCCTCGTCCTCCTCTGCATCCACCACCACCCCTGCCTGGTCCGCCTGCCACCTCTCGCACGCCTTGCGGTTGGCCTCCTCCACCTCCAGCCGGCGGAGCCTCGAGGCCTCGGCGGCCTCCGCCTTGGCCTTCCGCTTGGCCTCCTGGGCCTCGAAGCGCGCCACCGCCGCGACGGCCTTCTCGGCCTCCCTCTCCTCGATGGCCCTCTGCTTGGCCTCCTCGCGCTCTTGCCTCTTCGCCTCCTTGGCGTGGAACGCCGCCTCCTCGGCCTTCTTCTTCTCAAGTCTTTTCTGCTTCTGCTCTTTCTCCTTCTCCCTCTCGAGGCGCAACTTCTCCTTGTGCGCGCGGGCACACGCCTGACGCACACGTGCACGCACTCAGATGCTCCCAACTTGCTGTCTTGCAACCCACACCATTTATGTAGGAACAACTAATATCTTGCGCATTGGTTTCAAGAGCCGTGGGCAACTGCATCTCCGCCTGGATCATCCGCGGTTGCCGAATGGACTGTTGCTTGGCGCCCGCCAGCAGATTTTACAATTTACCGGGAAAGTCAAGATTGCTGGGGACAGGAAGAGAAGCGTAGAACACAGGACAGCTATAAATACATATGCACACATGACGAACATGTCCCCCGATGTTTTCCTTGCTGCGGAAGCAGCTGGTGGGCCATGCAGTCGAGCAGCTGAGCTCAAGCCAAACTTCGGTCTACATACGTTGGACAGGGCCGGCGGCCACTTACCACAAGCGTCTCCGACTACATTCAAAACGGTATGTTGTGTTTTGCTTCGAGCGATCCCCACCACAGAGTTCCACTACATCGTGATCTCTGATCCCAAAACATGTGGTTGGCGTATGCTGCTGGTGTATGTTCATGTTGTAAGTTCTTGGTTCTGTATGTATATGATGGCTGGTGTTGGGGCCTGTACTTGATGTGTGTGATGAATGTGTGCAAAACAGTGTTTGATATTGGCGGAAATCAATGATGGCTGTTTTTGGTAGCGGCCTTGGTGCATGCTATTGGACACTATGTCCTAGGGTTGATGCGTGTTTCCGGTGTAGCTAGAATGCCTGTTCTGTCGTCTGTTACTGATGTATGTTCCTAGCGTGTTTGTTTTTGTTGGCGGCTATTGATGTCGGCTGCGGGTGTCTGCTCTTGATGTATGTTCTTGATGCTTGTTCTTGATGTGGGCTGTCGGTGTGTGTGATATGTATCACTGAATTGTTTAGGATATGTGTGTTAGCCGCTTGTGTATATTCATAGTTGATGTTCCCGGTGTATGTTCTTGGCGAACGTTCTTGCCTTCTGCTCGCAGGCTCGCTGAATCTGTTCTACATTGGCGGCGTGACGCCGTGGCGCTTTCCTGTTGGGGCTGCCTCTTGCTGACGCCTGTTCTCTTTGCTTGTCCAACGTATCGTCATTGGACCCCTGAGTTAGGAGGCAACTACTGGGAGGTCCTCCTCGAAAAGATTGAAGAGGATTAAGCCCCATTGGGGGCTCTTGAACCGGAGTGGGCCTCGGATTAAGCGGGATTAAGCCGGATTAAGCGGGATTAAGCGGGATCAAGCCGGATTATGCGGGATTGAGCCGGATTACGCTGGACTTCGGACCAGGGCAAAATCAGAATTTGACCTCCCAGGAGTTGCATCCGAACCTGGGGGTCTGGGAGGCCTGGCGTCCGCGGTGCGCAGGGCGGGCATAGCGGGACACTCGAGGACCGCCCCGATTCTTGGAGCCCGGCGGCCACGGTGCGCGTGGCGGGCGAGGCGTTCGGGAGGTGGCCCCCTCCGAAATCTATAACAGCCCCGAACTGTCGGGCGGGGACACATGAAGCCCGTGCCGGGAACGGGGCACGTCTGCGAGCCAACGGCGGATGTTTCCGAGCGGCTTCGCATCATGGGCAAGGCCTGCGAGTGCAAGATGTGGGTCCAACCCGTTTGGTCCAGAAACCTGACGTGTAAACCCGCCAACCCTATGGGGTCCGAGGTGCCTTAAAGCGTTTCCTCTTCCGTCTTCTCCCTTTCCCCCCTTCTGGCAGGGGCTTGATCTGCTCCTGATTATGAATGCACACCCCCTCCCCCACTTCTCCGGCGACAAACTGGGTGAAAGGCAACCCCACCCCGTCATCCCTGCCAAAAACAATACAGCATGCGGTTGTTGCGCCAAAGTCTACATCATGTTCGGGCGCCCAGCGACCAATTTAATTTGCATAGTTTCTTCACAAAGACGACGGGGGAGGGAGCATCATACCTGGTGTTTGCAGGCCCACCGAAACAGTGCAAATCGCATGCTGCCGCAAACTGTTGGACCATGCGCGGGCGCCCAGCGATCATTTTCTTATTTGGCAGAAGTGATGGGGGTGCCCTGGCACGCGCGGTGCATCTCGCGGGCGTCATGCACGTGGTTGGCCTCTGCATTGGTTCTCGATTGTTTTCGATTGCGGCTCCTGTACATGCTAAGACTGGGCTGCAAATTGTGTTGGGAGTGCGGGCGTGAGTGACCTCCCCTCGGGTTTGGACGGCGGGGGGGGACGGCGGCGACGGGTTCGAGCGTCCCAATATGGCCTCATCGAGAAGGCGAACATCAGACTGACTATCACCATTTGGGCCAATGTGGCCCTCCTGGGAGGCCCTTTCCCCGTTCCTCTTGCCCTCTCCCTTCTGCAATGCCCTGCTGCGGAGGAAAGGGCCGGAACACCACGGTGTGCGTTGTGTGTTCTTGGTGTATGTCTACATATGTATGTGTGCATGCATGTATTTATGTATATATGTATGTTCACGTTGTGCAGACATGCGCTTATATGTATGTATGTATGCATGCATGCATGTATGTATGTGCGTGCATGTATGTATCTACGTATGTATGTAAATATGTACTTGTATATGTATGAATAGGTGCGTGCATGCATGTATGTGTATATGTATGCATGCATTTGTGTATGTATTTAAGTATGCATGCATGTGTTTGTTTATGCATTCATGTATGTAGGTACGCATGCATGCATGCATGCATGCATGCATGTATGTATGTATGTATGTATGTATGTATGTGTGTGTGTGTGTATGTATCTGTGTGTAACATCGACGGGCAACACTCCGACGTACACTCTGGTGATGGGTGTACTCACCAGACAAAGACAACTCACGTTAATCTGTTCAACACGGGCCACGTTTAAGGTGAGATCTGGCCTCCTCGGGTGCAAGCCCTTCAAAGACTTGCTGCATGTTCTTTTTTGCCGTGGCGGGGTAACTCATGAACACACTTAACCGACAACTTATCCTTCTTCGCGGATCCTGGTGCAAACAACAACCACACCCCGTGCACAACAAAAAACACAAGAACAGCCACCTGATCCGCAATACTTCATGCTGCGGACGGGCGGCTTCGGCAAGATCAGTCCCGCCCTCTCCGCTACTCAGGCCAGGAGGAGGTTCAGCGGTCGAACGACAACCATTGAAACAGACAGGGCCACTCCCGAGCCTCGAATGCCACACCCACGGATGAGGTGGGGCCATTTCCCGAAGCTCCTGATCCCGAGGGGCCTTCTGCTCTAGCCACAACCGTCAAGATCTGGGAACGGCGCCAGAAGCAACCTAGCGGCAGCGAGGTGGCAGACAATTTTTGAGATTGCGACGATGCGGTCGACCATATAATGCTCACCCTGAGAGGCCCTGGGGTGGAGGAGAGCCCCAGGCCGAGGACCTGGCTCAATCAAATCGAGGTGGGCTTCAACCTTGATGGCGCTAGCCAAACACCGCTTTGCATGAACATGCAGGAGCACGCGTGTTGTGAGGAGGGGAGAACGAGGATGAGAACGAGGAGGAGGTTTGTCACCAGCACAACGTCTTCCTCCCACTCCTCCCCGCCCTTTTTCTGCGCGGTGTCCGCGGCTTTCGCCTTTGCCTTCGCCGCCGCGTCTTTGTCCTTCCCAGGGGGGGGGGGCGCAGGAGCGGCGGGACACATCGCGCTGCCGAGCCAATGACCCCAAGCCCTGGAAGGGTACGTCCGTGAGCCTTGCGAAGGCCTAGCGAGTGGGATTGCCCCCCCCCCCCCCCTCTCCCCCCCTTTTGGTTTGTGAGCGTGGCATGTTGGTGGGTGACGGTGCCCTTCACCCCCTGTGGGTGTGGGGTGGTTCGTCGTCGTCGCCGTCGCCGTCGTCGTCGCCGTGCGTCGTCGTCGTCGGCGTCGTCATCTTCGTCGTCGTCGTCGTCATCGTGGTTGTCGTGATCGTCCGCCGGCGTCGGCGTCGTCGTCGTCGTCCGTGGGCGTGGGCGTGGGCGTGGGCGTGGGCGTGGGCGTGGGCGTCGTCGTCTTTCTCCCCATTTCCCCTTAAACCAGATCTCAACCACCTGGGACTGATTTCAACCACTGGAAACGCACTGATCCCAACGTGCAGAATTCCTACAACTCCTACAATGCGAACGGCTGATTGCAACCATGGAAGCGTATTCGAAATACCAAGCTCGCTTACCAAGCACCTCCGAGAAAGCGCCTCCTCGATTTCGTGACAGACTCCCGTGGATGCCTCTTGCGTTTCGTGGGGGATTCTTGCGGGTGTCTGTTGGGTCGCTGAGATAACTGAGGACTGAACATTCCTGAAAATTCTTGACAATTCCTGAAGATTCCGGATGGATTCCTGAAGGATTCCAAAAATGGATTCCTGAAGATTCCTGAACGATGCCTGAGGAGTCCTGGGGATTCCACACAGATTCTTGGAGGATTTCTGCGCGATCCCTGAGGATTCACGAAGGAGTCCTGATGAGGCCAAACATCCCAGAGGGGTTCCTCAGAATTCTTCAGATTCCTGAAGCGTCCCGTAGGATTCCTTTAGTTTCTGCAGGGGGCCCGGAGGATTCCCCAATGAGGGTGTCTCATGGAATCCAGATTGATTCCTTATTGGCTTATTGGGTTCCGGAGGATCCCTGCGGATTCCTAAGGGTTTCCTAAAGATTTCTGCAATATTCCAAGAAGATTCCGAAAAGGATTCCTCGAAAAATCCCAAACAAAAATCCTGAAAGATTCCTGATCGATGCCGGAAGGCTTCCTGAAGGAATTCATCACGATTCTAAGCGAATTCGTTGTGGATTCTGAACATTTCCTGGCGGATCCCTGGAGAAGCTCACGCTTCGAGCAGATCCCCGAAGATTCCTCAGGGAATCCTGGCGGACTCCTGAAGATTCGTGCGATTCCTGAAGATTCCTGAAGGACTCCTGCGCGCTCCTGAAAGATTCATGAAAATCCTTGCGAGTCCGGACGGTTCCTGAGGATTCCGGATGAACTCCGGAAGGCTTCCTGGAGGATTGATTGCGTCGGAATTCCTGAAGATTCTTACAGGAATCCTGCGTTTTCCTAAAAAAGACTCGTCAGGATTCCTACAAAAGGAATCCTGGCTAGGGGGAGCAGGACGAGGACGAGGAGGAGAAGGATGAAGAAGAGGACCAGTGCTAACCCAAGGCTCATTAAAGATGTTGGAATCGCCCCTCCCTTCAAACTCCCTCTTCATAGGCCCCATACAAGATTCATTTCCACGAAAGAAAACTCCACGTTGGGAAACAACCGATTGAAAGTCCTGACGCGTGCCAAAACATCATTCCCGGGACTCCAACGCCACGAATCAACTGGACTGTTGCGTCTTGACGATCCTGGATTGTGCCAAAAAAAAACATTGTTGGGACGTCAACACAACGAATCAACGCAACTGTCCCGCCTTGACAATTCTGAACCGCTCCAACGCAAAATTTCTGGTACGTTATCCATGGCAACTCAAGTTTTAAGAAGAATGTGCACGGCGCTATAACGAGAACTAGACTTTGAAACTCTTGCAATTCCTTGTGAGGGATGTGCGCTGCACGAAGGTGAGATCCACAATTAAAAAACTGCCCGCCCGCAATCTGCAAAACTCTTGTCGTTCCTTGAAACTGATCTGCACGGCGCCCAAGCGAGAACCACATTTCGAAAACGACCCGCCTTCATTCCGTGAAGCTCTGGCACATGTTCAAAACGAGTGCGCGCGGCGCAAATGCGAAAACCACATTTCGGAACTGGCCGGCCCTCCATCTGTGAAGCTGTTGCCAACATCAAAGCTTCAGGATCATAAATGATAAAGAAACCTTGAACGAAACGCCCGGCCCGCCCTGCCGACTGGCCTCGGGATGCTACGCTGAAGAGCTTCTACAAGGAAAAGGAATGGAGGAGGAGGAGGACCCCCCATGCATTCGTATGTGTACCTGACGCAACCTGGCAGAGCAGCAGGACCTCCCTGGTCCAATCCCCATCACTTCCACGTCCTCCGCCTTGACGGGCCAAGTGTTCAGAGTTCAGCAAGGCCTGACTGTGCCAACCCGATGTGGGTGGATGTGATAGAGGCCTTTGCTCCAGGAGTGCAGCATCGCTCCAAAATGTGCTGCGAACGGCGCCTGCAGGGTGGGTCCTTTCCTTTTCTGTGCAAGTTAGTTTTCTTGGAAGCGCCTTCTGACCAAATCACCCGAGTCCGTTGTTTTATGCTCGCATGGGTGTGTACCCTGCCCCCTCTTGTCCCACTTCAGCCCTCCCCACGACCTCTTGAGAGAACCACTTAGGTTCTCAGGAATATGCTTGGGCATTCCCGCAACAGTGCTTGCACTTAGCGCCGCCGGCTTCGTGGCTCGTCGCCGACGTTCCATTGCACAACATAGGTTGCACCGCACATTTTGCACCACGTATATTGCATAACAGAAGCTGCACCACATACCTTGCACACCATAGATTACACAACACTGATTGCGCCAAAAGAGTGAGCAACATTGATGGCACCACATAGATTGCGACACGCGTATTGCACCGCTCAGATTGCATCACGTCAGATGCACCGCGTAGCATGCGCACCGCGTAGACTGTACCACAGATATTGCACTATAAAGGTTGCACCACATAGACTGCACACTTCGTAACGCAATGGACCACATGTATTGCACAACGTAAATTGCACAAAATAGATGTAAGAATCCGTCGATGATCGGCCCGATCGCAACTGCTTTTCCGAAATTCCCCTTGGGGGCTTAAAGGAAGCCACTGCGTCCAGAAGCGCTCTTGAAAGACTTCTCTTAACCATCGGGCTGGGGAGGCCTATGGAACCCTGGGGCCCATCCTATCTGGGGAGGGGGAGGCGGGGCCAAGAAACCCTCGACGGGCGATCATATATGCCCCAGATCCCCGATAAGGGAAATCAAGATCCCCCACGGGGAAATGAGCCTGGGCCCGCCCCCCCCCGGGCCTGGAACCCATGCTATATGTGTATATATACATATACATAGACCTATATATGTATGTATGTATATAAATATATATCTATATCGAAGATCATGCATATCGAAGATCTTGTTGTCAAGATTAGGCCCTCACGGGTAATTGATTCGTCCAACAATTTTAGGACAACAGAAATGAAATCTGGGCACTGTGTGGGGCCGGTGGTGCGCCACGGTGAACTTGCATCTTGTCACTCTTCTGATCGCCCAGTGGTCAGACTGGAATGAATTGTCTTCGTACTCCTCCTCGCTAGCCTCCTTGTCCCGTTGCAGAAATATTGGCGGGATGGACGTTGCGCCTTAGCGATCGTGCGGAAAAAAAGAAAACAAATGCGTGATCACAAACAACATCTGACGAACAAACCAGATCCTGGATCCTGCTGGGTCCTCGATAGTTCCCAAGGGGGCGGAGGGGGAGGATTCGGCGGCGGAGGAGGGAGGGAGGGAAGGAGGGAAAGAGGGCGGAGGAGGCACAGCGTCGGAATGCAGGTGACTCTATTGCTTTACCGCCGCTCCCGCCTCTCTCGCCCGAGAAGAAGCTCGGCTGCATGGAGCGCGCCAGCGGCGATCGTGAGGGCTTCGGAGGGTTCGAGAAATCGAAACTCTGGGCCACGTCGACTACGCTCGCACTGGAGCAGTCGGTGGAACTGGAACTTTGTGACAATGTACTTCAAGTGCGAGGGCTCCGAGCCTCGCAGTCCAAGCCTGATTATGGGATCGCGCTCGAACAAGACGAGGAGAGCGTGCGCGAGTGTGAAATTGAAGCAAGGGCACCAACCGCCGAAATGCGACAAGCAATCTTTCCTCTGTCTGCTCGTTTGGCAGGACGAGGAGGAGGAGGAGAAGGAGGAGGAGGAGGGAGAGGAGGAGGAGGAGGAGGAGGAGGAGGAGGAGGAGGAGGAGGAGGAGGATGATGATGATGAGGAGGAGGAGGAGGAGGAGTGTGAGGAGTGGGAGGGGGGGAGAGGAGACCCTCCTTCCTCTTTCTGCTTGTCGGGCCACGCCGGTCGCCCCCGACTCTCCACCCCGCTCCGCCAAGGCCACGCTGGGCCAGGGCAGTGACCTAGTACGTGTCGCCGATGCGCCCTGGTGAGCCTCATGACTCATGACCCGCCTCCTGGGGGCTCAACGTCGCTCCATCATGGTCAGCACCTCTAAGCGCGAGCAGCGAGCCCGACGAGGCTTGCCGCTGAGAGACCTTCCTCCTTCTCCTTCCCCTCCTCCTCCTCCTCCTCCTCCTCCTCCCCCTCCTCCTCCTCCTCTTCCTCCTCCTCCGCCTCCTCCTCCTCCTCCTCCTGGTCCAATCCAGCCAGCGGCCGCACCTGACCCAACAGCGCAGGACACATCCTATCGGAACTGCTCAGCACCAAGCGCGAAGAGCGTTGCAGGCCCGCCTCTGCAGCTTCTCTGGCAATCAGGTGGTCACTCGAGGATGAGGAGGGGGATGAGGGGGAGGAGGCGGACTGACCTAGACCTCCAGCGTCATGATTCTTGAAGACGCTGGCCCTAAGAACACTTGACAGCAACCCCTGCCACTGGTTTCTCGTTGTGGGTGAAGGCCCCTGGAGGCCGAACTCACGGAGAACGCGATTCGTTGTTTTTTCTTGGGTGAATTCCGGGAAGCATGAGCCTCCCCTCTCTCCGACTCGCCCGCCAGACCTGTCGTGGACTGCGTTAGCGAGGAATTTCAAGCAATTCCCGCAGTAGCGGCGAGGGCCACCACGGAGGCCCAAACCATCTAAAAGCTCGACAATATTTCCCTCCTCCTTCTCCTCCTCCTCCTCCTCCTTTTTCCTCCTCCTTCTCCTCCTCCTCCTCCTCCTCCTCATCCTCCACCACCTCCTCCTCCCCCACCTCCTCCTCCTCCACCTCCTCCTCCTCCTCCTCCACCTCCTCCTCCTCCTCCTCCTCCTCCTCCTCCTTCTCCTCCCTCTGGAGGAAGAGTTTCGTCGTCCTCCTCAGGCGCACGATCGATTTTTGGACTCGAAAGCGCCTCCTCCTCCTCCTCCTCCGCCTCCTCCTCTCCTCCTCCTCCTCCTCCTCCCTCCTCCTCCTCCTGTCCTCCTCCTCCTCCTCCTTCTCCTCCTCCCCCTCTTTTCCTCCTCCTCCTCCTCCTCCTCCTCCTCCTCCTCCTCCTCCCTCTGGAGGAGGAGCCTCGTCGTCCTCCCCAGGCGCACGATCGATTGGGGGACTCGGAAGGAGTGAGGGTAATGCGCGGCGGGCGCTCCTTCTTCGCGGCGGTCGTCTTAGGGTCCTTCGCCTTGTCTTGAGGAAGCGCGGGCACGATCTTGGAGACGGTCTTGGCCTTCTTGACCTGTCTCGGCGGCGAGCGAGCGGGGGGAAGTGAAAAGGAGAAGGCCTTCTCAGAAGGTGGCGGGGCTGCTGAGAAGCCATCGCGCCTTCTAAGACATTTTCTGTGCCTTCGCGGAAGGCTCAGGAAACATCCGAGAAGGCTGGGGACTTCCCGAGCCCTCTGAGAAGGCCCGCCCCTTCTCACTTCCCCCCCAGACTCGCCGCCGACTGTCCAGGGCCGCCCTCCAGGATACAACGACAACAAACATAGCAACGTCTGAGCTCGACACTTCCTTGTGCACGGGGCACCTCGTAGGGGTCCTGAGCGCAATGACGCTGATGCCTCGGCGCCTCGGCTCACGAGGATCATCAAACTCATGACCGACACGTCCGCCCCTGCTCTGCGCTTGCCCCCTCTGGTAATTCCCCGCCCTCCCCCCCCCGCCCTGTCATCCCCTGCCTGATGGAGAGGCGGGGAGACTGCGATGTATTGCCTGGCCGAACCCCCCGTCCCCCATTACTGTCCTGTTCCCCTGCTCTTGCGGGACAAATGGAACTTGTATCGCCTGATCTGTGAACCCCATGCCGTACAAAGCAGCATAAGCTAGCGCAGACTCCAAATATGTCAGATGCCTGAAATGAAATGGACTAGAAACGACTGGGGTAGACTGGATCGGACTGGGATAGACTCTACTCCACTCCATACTAGTCGTTTCGTCTCTACTACAATATACCCTACTCTTCTCTAAAATCTACATTCCTCTATCCAGCCCTACTCTACCCTACCCTACCCTACTCTACTGTACTCTACTCTACTCGATTCAAACGTACTCTCCTCTCCTCTCCTCTCCTCGCCTTTACTCCACTCTGCTCTGCCCTACCCTACTCTGCTCTATTATCGACTTTACTCTTCCATCTACCCTACTGTACTCTGCTCGAGTCTGCTCTTCTCTACCTTGATCTACTCGACTCTGCTCTACTCTACCCTTCCCTGTCCTGATGCTTCATCTATATCTGCTCCCACTCTGCCGCAAAACTGGCCGAGAGGGGCTGGATCCTGGTGGCTACATCCTGCCTGTCAGCAACACAGTACATAATCAATCTGTTCGTACTACCATGGGCATTCGTAGATCGTCCATGTTGTAAGATGCGTGGCAGGAGCGGGACGGGGCGCGCATCCCGCGCGACAAGCCGAACTGTGCCCTCCCTTCGGCGCGGCGGTCATGTTTTTAACCAATTGAGCTCCCGCTTGGGCGCGACGCGTATCGTTCGCACGCATCTTCGTCGACGCGCGAGCGAGCGAGCGAACCTGTGGCTCCCGCGTCGGCGCAATGCCCATTTCGCCTGGCAGTGGCGCTGCCGCTTCGACGCCGCGTATGCCTGTCGCTCGCCAATCTTGCGGGGCCCGCGCGAGTGGGCGACTTGCCGCCCTCGCCCGAGCCCCGTGCGCATTTCGCATGGAGCCTGCGTTGCAGCGCGGGCGCGGCGCATGGCTCGCGCGCCGAATCGCATGAGAACGACAACGGCCGCGGGGCCGCGCGACAACGGGCGTGATTCCGGCCTCGCCCAGGCGCCGCGCAACGTGTGCGCGGAAGTGGCAGTGCCGTGTCAACGCCGCGCATGCTTCGTCTCCGCCGCGCCTATCGGAAATCGTGCCGCTCGCTCCCGCCCGCGTAGCTCTCTTTTCGAGAAGTCGTCGGACATGGGGCCGCGCGCAATCGCCTTCCGATTGCGAGGTGGGGGCGCGTTCCGATCCCAATATCGAGTTGCGCCACGTCACGCTGCACTGCTGTGTTGTGCGAGGGGAGGGGTGGGAGAAGACGGGGCCTTCAGGCTCGTTCGACCTGATTGACTATACTCCTGCGCTGCTCTGCTCTACTCTGCTCTGCTCGTCGTCTCTTCCCTACTCTACTCTACTCTGCTCTACTCTGCTCTACTCTGCTCTGCTCTACTCTACTTCTGAATTTAACGATCGTCAGACGGCTGTTGGGACGACATTGAGATAGCCACAGGAAGCCATCGGAGCTGCCAAGGAAGCCATGCGGACACAGAGGAAAACATGCGGATAGCAGAGGAAGCCATTCGGACACAGAAGACACGTAGGGATACGATGGAGGGGGTACCGAGGAAGCCATGCGCAACGGAAGTCATGCGCATCAGAGGACGCGTGTAGCAACACAACACAAGGGGGGTGCAAAGGAAACCATGCGCAACGGAAGTCATGCGCAACGATAGACCCCGTGCGCGACAAAGGGCTCGTGCAGCGGGAAAGCCGAAGGGGGTACAAAGGACACCATGCGGAACGGACGCCATGCGCAAAACAGGGTGCCATGCGCAACAAAGGACGCGTGTGGGGGCAACATATGAATGTGAGGGGGCCGAACGGTCATTCATTGTCCCTGGGTGCGTGGCTGAATAGAGGATCCGTGGTGAGGATTCTGCTTGTTGCGTTGTTGTTGATGATGATGATGTTGTTGTTTTTGCTGCTGTTGCTGTTGCTGTTGCTGTTGCTGTTGCTGTTGTTGTTGTTGTTGTTGTTGTTGTTGTTGTTTTTTGTTGTCGTCGTCCCACCCGCGACCCACCCGCGACCCACCTCGCTACCCACCCCGCGACCCACCCTGCGACCCACCCCGCGACCCACCTGCGACCCACCCCGCGACCCACCCGCGACCTTTCCCGCGACCCACCCGCGACCCACCCGCGACCCACCCACGACCCACCCCGCGACCCACCCGCGACCCGCCCGCGACCCATCCGGACCCACCCGCGACCCCCCGCGACCCACTTGCGACCCACCCCGCGACCCCGCGACCCACCCGCGACCCACCCACGACCCACCCCGCGACCCAGCCGCGACCCACCCGCGACCCATTTGCGACCCACCCGCGACCTACCCACATTGGTTGAACAAAAAAATCGGCGCCTGCGGCGGGCTCGTTGTATAGTTTGTGAAACGTTGGCTTCTGCGGCGGGCTTCTCCAGAGACTCGCACACTGCCGACGTCCCCACCACCCCCTCACTCTTATCCGCATCTGCGGGGTGCTACGATGGGTAAGGGGTGGTACACGGGACCGATCCTCTAGGGATAGATCTAGGACTCCTATAGGCAGGCCTATAGGGAGAACGCATGCCAAGATTTCTGCGCAACCAACATTGCAAACTTGCGAAGCCGAAGGTGGCGGGCAGAAGCCCTGTGGCGTAGCGAGGCCCTTGCTTGGTGGCAGCCCGCTCTTGACTGACCGTGCCAGTGACCCTGGCAGCCTCGACGCTTCCAGGGGAGGGACGTAGGGGAGAGAGGGTGGAAAACGCACGAGGAGGGGAGGGGCGAGGAAGGAACAACCACACTTGTGACATCGCAACAGAGGCGGTCGCGCACTGCGCCCGTAAAGCGGAGGCACTGCCAGGCGAATTGCGCACCAACCGGCAGGGGACAGAGGACAAGAGAACGAACACACCCAAATCACACACCCGAATCTCCGACGACATGATCTCTTTGAGACGCCGGCCCATGGAGCCCTGCACCCCTCCTCCGTCGCGACCGGCCTTCTTCCATCCTGGGAACGGCCTCTCGCTGCGGAGCACTGCGGAACACCTCCGGCACGGTCTCTGTTTGAAGTCGCCACGGGGACCTCGGCACTCTTCGGGCGTTGCCAGGAAGTCCCCCTGGCCCAGGGTGTGCTCCCAGGATCAGGCTGCCTCCTCACAGGCTGGCCGCACCGGCCACTTCTGACGAAGGTCTTCGTGCAGCGAACGCCCTCCCGCTTTCTCCCGCCCCCCGCGGCCGCTCCCTGGCCCCCGCCCCTCTCCTGCAGCCGGACAGTGAGTGCGTGCCCGAGCCCAGCCCACTGGAGCGCGCGTGCGGATCGCCTCTGCCGCGCTGCGGCGGACAAGTGTGTTCCCAGGATTGGCACGGAGGCCCCCGCGGCGAAGCCAACGCAGGGGACGCCTTGGGGCAAGGACACCCTGGGCAACCCCCAAGCTCTGCGGTCTCTGCCGCGCGCCACATTCGCCCCGCCCCCCTCCCCCCCAGAGCGGTGGGCCGAGGAGGCGAGGTCGACCCCCGCGTCTGGGGGGGTGAGGCCTGCTGGCAACATTGCCCGACGCAGTCTGTGTACAGATGCGCCGGTGAGGCTTCGGGTTGCGCCCCCCCCCCCAGCCGGTCCCTCGTCACTGGAGCCTGTGTCTGGCCGCGGCTACGACGACCCTCCGGCAGGCCCCTCGAAAATGCCAAAGACCTCGAGGTCTGGCAAGGCTTCGGGCTGCGCGCAGACAGCCCCTTCACGTAGCCCTGGCTGGCCCCACCAGGCACCCCCGGCTAGCCCGCGGAGGTTTCTGAAGGGGCCCTGGGACACACAAATGAATAGGCACAAATAGCAGGATTCCCCATATTTCCTCATATTTTCTAGGTTTATGTCTTCCCCCCACTTCCCTTGTTTGCCCATGCTTTCTGGGGGTGTGTGTTTTTTCCCCTCCTGAGTTTCAACATCCCAGCCCTGGGGCGCGGACCGCCCCAGGAGGGCGGCCGCCGGAGGCGGCGCCAGCGTGTCGAGAACGTCCCAGGCAGCTCGCTGAGCATTCTCTCAGGGTGGAGGGCGCAAGGTGAGATCCATAAGGGCTTTTGCACCTCGAAGGTCGATCCGTCTAGTGATTCACCTTTTGCAGATTCCAACCCCGAAAATCCATCGGACCGGCATTTCAGATTTCACCCTTTGGGGCTGTCTGTGCGCAGCCCGGAGCCTTGCCACAATACACCCTCTCTCCTGCCCTGCCCTCCAAATCTCCGCCTGGTGTCCTGTCCCCCCCCCCTTCCTGCTGAGCGCCGGCATCCGACGCCATGGACAAAACAAGACGCCGTGAAAACATCACCGTCATCCTCCCCCCATGTTTCCCAACCATCCTGTGGTGTTGGGTCCTCGTTTTGAAGAGACGGTCCCCGCGTTCCTTCCTGCCTTCTTTCCTTCCTTCCTTCCTTCCTCCTCCCCCTCCTCCCTCCCATCCCTGCTTCTGCCCTCCGCATGTCTT